ATGTCAAAACACGATGATTTTTATTGCATATTGTGCTAAATAGGAACAACAGGGTTCTCTTTTATTATAATTTTTTAAAATTTATATTTGATTTAACTAAGGGCCAGTTTAGGCTTGGTGCACTGTAAGAGAGAGAAACAAACAGAAATAATCTATAAGTGTCACCCCAGACAAGGTAAATAGGTACACTTAAGTATAGTTTACCCTTGATCTACCCTCGACTCTTTATTTTAAAGATTGATGATTTTCTAATTATTTTCGTTTATCGCAACAAATATGAAAGTGATTCCTCCACCAAATAAAATTATATCTAATTGCTTTAAAATAACAATAAAAAATTATATTGACAATAAAATATAATCATACATATGCAATACAAATACGAAGCTACAAATCCCGTTTTTGGCGCTATTGTTTTTGATTGGGAGAAAGACTTGAAACATATGTGGTAAAATATTGTAATTTTTATTGTCGATGTTATAACTAATAATCATAGCAAACAATGTTCCTATTTGCGTCAAGTAATTATTCTTTTGAGCGCCCGCAGATGAATGATTAGCATGGGTCGCTTTCAGTTGTGGATAGCTCCCCACGATGTGCAGTAACTTAACACCTTACCATTTACCTCGTTATGGTTGACCGACTATCATCACAAAGGCTTTATACCAGGCTAGCTTCCCTGATACTCCTGGTCGGAATGAATTTTTTATACGTTGTATTCATCTCAGTGAATAATAGTCATAGTTCATGATTTTATGATATGTTAAATGTTTATCAGTTAACAGTAATACAGTTAATACAGTGAGTGCCCCGGATGTGATGTATGTATATGTATCGGTGATTAAGACACAACTATGATTTTATTAAATGGTCTGGGTGAGATGTATTCATAATTGATAAGGTTCCATCTGTAGTTTTATTGAATAACCCAATTGTGATGTATTTATCAGGGATTAAGTTGCATCTATAGTATTATTAAATGGCCCGGATGTGCTGCATTTATCTGTGTTTAGGTTCAAGTATAGTGTTAATGAGGTACCTCATACAAATATAAGATATTTCAAACTCATTCATTGTTTTATTCCTTTAAAAATAGAAATTGTATTAAATCTTTATTTATTAGATTTTTAAATACAGAAAATACAAAATTTAAATACAATGATGTATTGTAGTAGCTCTCCAGCTAAGAATCATGCAATGGGTAATACACTCATAGTCAAGGATATATATCTAGTGCGGCTAGATAAGTTCAATTATTTGGAAAACTGATATAAATGGCAAGCAACGGGCCAAATATCATTCTATCATACCACAATCTTACATCATTTTCAATTTTTACATTAAGTACATCAATTTCAAAACATTTGCACAGGTACATGATGTTGTACTGTACCTGAAATATCTTGAAGATATGTTGTTATCCTCATGAATGCATTTACAATAGGTTACCATAACAACAAATTTAACACCCAATTTCTTAATGAAAAAAGTACTAAAAATGACAATTTTTGCATTTGATTATCTCTTATGATTGTCTTTTTAAAGTTGTCTGTGGCCTAAAACATGTCAAAAATAAAAATATGTATACTATTACCGATTGTTTTNAAATTTAACACCCAATTTCTTAATGAAAAAAGTACTAAAAATGACATTTTTTGCATTTGATTATCTCTTATGATTGTCTTTTTAAAGTTGTCTGTGGCCTAAAACATGTCAAAAATAAACATATGTAGACTATTACCGATTGTTTAGAAAATGGCATTCTTGTCACCCTTTTTTTCCAATATGACAAAAATGTGGAAATAAGCAGTTTTCAGTGTCTGCTATCATTCTACTCCAAAATAATGGCGGTAATATGTTATGCTATATGGTTTCAATAGGTTTCATTTGAAAAAAAATTGTAATATCTTTATTGTTTCCCCATAAGTATTTTTTCAAATAATTGCAATAAATTTGTGCTATAAATAGATTTTTGTAAAATATTGAAATTAGGTAATTTTCTGTGTCTTCTATCATCCTACATCAAATAAATTGGGGTAACATTTGGGAAACTATTGAAATTCAGGTAATTTTTAACCATATGAGGGTTTGCATGGATGAAGATGACAATACTTTTGTTTTCTTTATCCTTAACTGTAAATAAGGTATAAATATGTTAACACAACAGAGTTATGGTAATTGTTCCATTCTACAAAATTGTGTTTTGTAACAGTTTTTTTGGGATAATCTTAGTCTACTTCTTGAAATTAGAGTTCTTTTAAGGATTTTAGATCTTAGATTTATAATAACAATGGCAATTTCTTTTAAAAGAACTAAACAATTTTGTGAACAACATAACATTTTTAATCAGTTGAAACAATAAATTGATGAAAGTAGTGCATAATGGTACATAAGGCAGGTCAAAGTCTGCTGACACCAATGAGATTTCAACAAATGTAACTCATGATCAACTAGTATACCAAATGATGTTTCCAAGTTTTGCACAGTTCATAGAGGTTCAGTATGTGATAAAAATTTACCAATTTGCCATATTAGAGCTGTAAGGGAACCTCATAAAGAAATACCCCCTTTTTCACTCAAGTCAAATGAACTTCCCTTAATGATGTCTGACCGGAAAACTGTTTCTTCATGCACATATTCATATGGCGGACTACCATTGTGTGAAGTTGCAATGAAATCCATTCACTGGTTTAGGAGAAGTTGCGATTAAAAGGAAAGTATGATAAAACAAACACAATTATCTAATTTTATCCTACTAGACTTTTTCTATATGCATACAGGGGTACCAATAAACAAAAGTGAAATTCAAATACTATACAAATATCGTCTCCTGGTACCTATCCCGTAATTTTTTCAACGGCAATTTGCATTGTTGACTTGTTTAATTTCTGCAGTCATACCAGATAATGACCTCGTGTAATTGCTCACGTATATACCACTCTCTTCGAGTTAAAAGAAAGGTTTAGAATAAAGTTATTTCATTTTATGGTGCAGGATAAAGACAATACATGTATATTGTCGGAAAATATCAAAATCATTTGTACTCGCCTCGCATTCTACCTGTTACTAAGGCTCACGTACATGTATTGTATATTTCTTCTTTAAGTGATATCTGAAAGAAAAAGAAATCATCCATGCACATCCTCATATGGTGGGCTACCACTATGTGAAGTTTAAAAAATACATTTACAGGTTTAGGAGGAGTTGCACTTACAAGATAATGGACAAACAGACGGACAGACAGGGTGATTTCTATTAAACCCCATGCAGGGGGTATAGAAATGATTATGTTTACATAGAATTACTTAGACATTAATGTTTTGAATTTCTACAGAGTTTAAGTGTGCAACAATCGATTCTAGGTCAGCATCATCAATGGTCTGTCTTTTGCTAGGTGGAATTTTACTCATGACAGCAAGTCGAGAAAAATATGAAGCAGTCCGTCCCTGCTGTAAATATTCATTTGGCTGAAACATCTTATCGCCATCTTCATCCATGCAAACCCTCATATGGTTGGCTGCATCCATAGGGTTGACCTTCTTGCCACCTTGTCCTGCCTCAAATAAGCCCTTAGAAAAGTGTTAACCTTTTCAGAGAAACGGTTAATCTTCCTATCTTTTCGCAGGGCCCAGACGGACAGACGGACAGACGGACGGACGACGGACGCCACGGTATGGCATAAGCTCGTTTTGGTCCTTCGGACCAGGTGAACTTACAATGTAAATTGTAAGAAAAAACTTAATATGATGAACATTTTGAGTACACCTAGTAGAGATGTAGATTGTAATATTTAAATCAAAGGGGTATTCTGTGGTTAATTGTAACAGCCATTGCAAAGGTTTTTAAAAATGGTTGATGAGTCTTGAAATCACTTTTCATTTGAATAATTATTGTATGTACCAGTACAAGGTAGTGTGCAATTTTGTACAATGTCTATGTATTGTGCATTTCTGACACATTTAAACTCATTGATTTTTTAATGTCAGATATAAATTCAATGATTGATTTTAACACATGTGCTGAGCTAGTTAGCTACACTTTTGAATTATAATTATAAATTGGTTGGAATAGTGTGGAATTAGTGTGTCTATAATGTTGTGATTTCTGGTCCAAACAGCAGTACATCTTGGGGCGCATTGTGTTCTACTGTTAAAATCAAAACTGAAATAAGCGAATTAGTTCAATATATATTCATGATCTCAATAGCATACATGGATGTTGTTTTGTGGTGGTATTATGTTTTTGTTTTATAAAGAGTTTGTGTCTCGTGTTCAATTACCCCATTTCCAATATTTTATATTACAATACAGTACTATTGATTGATTGTAGTTAAACAACCATTGACAGATATTTCATACAATTGAATTTCAGGATGAGAATATTTGATCAGTCGAACAGACCCTACTGTGTACTAGACTGACACCAGCTGTATTATAGAAATTATATAATCAATCTAATATTTTGTAGCTAGAGTTATATTCCACATTCGAGAACTTGGGGAAACACAATGATTAATTTCAGGGAACAATGTAAGGTGCATGTAGAGAGGCATGCTCATTTTCTGTTGTTGTTAAGATATGAAAATACAGCCTATCTTTCTCACAGAAGTGTTTTTTGCAAATTTGTTATAACACTGGTAACACACTCCTATAAATGAAATTAATTGTATAATATAATTATAATATTATACAGTAAAAAAACAAGTCAAACATTTTATTTCACAAAGTTCCTGAAAATATTTTGATTTTGTTTATTTGGAAATATTTTTCTGATCCTATATAGAAAAGTTTTAGTGTGTTAATCACAAAGACAACTCATGATGTCATAATTTTAATTTACACATGTTTATGTACAATGTACATGTACATGTATTGACATCAAAAAATTAATTTGTAATTAACTCACCAACACTTTTCAATGTAATATAATTAAATTACATAAAAATAAAATAACAAATTTCACCCATTTTTCTTTCTTATAATAAAATAATCATAAAAACCAGTTAAGAATACCATCATGATTCTTTTTAACATAATGTAAGGGGAAATTTCATTATGACCAAATACGTTTGGCACGTCTTTGTACATATATTTGTAGTTTCATGGCAACAAGGTCAAAAAAAGTTAATGGACTTTAAATCAATGTAAACTCTTAGAATAGATAAATATATTACCACTGCCAACAGGAACTAAAACTCCATGGTCTTCTTAAATTTTCTGACTCTGCAGGCTGTTGACACCTCTAAAAGTTTTCCCCTTTCCAGTATGTTGTGGGTGAGAGCACTTCAGTGATGGCTTAAATTCTATGCCAAGTTTAGCACGGTGAAAAAGGCACACAGATAACGTTGATATTGTTGTAAACATTCCAACACGGTGACAAATTAGGTCTGCTTCTTGTAAAACTTTACATTGATTGTCTACTGAAACCCCTCTCTCAGAACTTCCTATGCTAAGATTCAATTTTCTTAGTTGGCTTGAAATTCCTTTATCCCATTCTGATAGTCTGACTAGTAGTGTTTCATTAGGAAATCTCTGGTAATATCCACAAGGGTAAGAAAGAACACAACGAAAATGTTTTTGTTCTGACGTAACTTCCATGAAGTTCCCACGTATTTCACTCTACAAGGACCAGCCTTTTTGTAAAAATGTTTTAAAAATGTCTCCACATTATGGTTAAGGTATATCAAAAAGGTATATAAATCAATCAGAAGAACAGTATACAAAATTAATCAGGTAAACAAAGCATCTCCGCACTGAATGTTGAAAACATTTATGTTTTCATATTCTATAGTCTATTGTGTTCTTTGATAAACAGAATAAAGAGAACCAATTTTTCTTTAATTTAATGAATAAATTTACACTGAAATACTTTTTTTAACAACAGCTACAAACTTGTGTTTTTTTAGTCACATGACAACTGTTGTTATTCAGACAAGAGTTAATTTTCTTTGATTGATGAGATAGAAAAGAAAAAAAGAAATTAAAGAAAATCTGTAATATGCTACATATGTTGTTTTTTGATATTTTGTAGAGAAAAAAATCCTCTTCCAGGCGATAAAAGTATATTTATATAAAACTCTTGCTCATGGAAGATATTTGCTTTTTTTGTACAGAGGATTGTGTGGGGGAATACTGATATGGCCCATAACTTCATTGTAGCACAAGAAAAAAGCAGCCGTCTTTTATCATAAACAAACATAATTTTTTCATCAAAAATAACCTTACTTTTTTAAACAAAACATTTCAAGATATCCTGTAATTTAGTGTATAGCACTTTTTTGATTTTTTGCATGGTTCTTAGCTGGGGAGTTACTTAAAAACATTTTATCTTTGAAATAGTTATTGTTTTTAATTCCAATTATGTAATCATCATCCAAATGATTCCATAACCACAAGTTGAAACACATAAACCCCTGTCAGTATACCTGGTATTACGACTGGCTTTGAATGACTTTTTGTACAATTTTTATTCTATTCATTGACGTTTACCTATAGTTTCTCACCTGTGAGGGTCCCGTCAATATCAGACTATTAACATCAACATGTCAGTATTAACTTCAACCATGAGTGGTAATATTCAGATGCAGGTATGTACACATTCATGAAAAGCATGGATGTGTGACGCTTTACATTGAGTGTATGAGTGTCTATCACGACACAAACCACGATTATATCAGTAAAATATGAAGGGGTATGTTAGGAAGATAAATAAAGGTTCCCAAGCGAGTGGTGGTTATCAAGTTTATCTAAATCGAGTTAATTAATCTTCAAATTGTCAAACGACAAAAGATTGACTGGGTGTCTTTTACAATTTAAAAATTAAGTAACGAGAGTTAGATAAACGTGCTAACTAATCAGTTTTAGGACCTGTGTCTCCAACAACGTTCGTGTTTTATCGGAAAACATGTTTCCTTTGGAAAATACATCATGTGTGTTAACGATTTCGTCGAAATGCATTGTAACGTGACGCCATAAATCAAAGATTGACCAATAAAATCACGTCCAGGGTGTTATCCACAAGTGGGTAACCAAAAAATGTGTACCAACTCCTAGCAGGTTTATCTAATGAGTCATGAGTGAGGAATTCTACGGAGGTTGTGGGAGAAATAACATCTTGTTGGTGGAAAAGAGGAAGTCAGTCTTATGTAACCACATATTCGGGTAAATTAATACTGAAAAAATAGCTTACAAAACAAATTATATACAATCATGTCTAGTCAATCAACATCATTTATTACGCTGTCATAAAAAAAACCACTGAAAGTACGTTTTACCTGAAAGCAAATTAATGCATTAAGTATTACAAGAATTTTAATACAAAACATTTCCTACTGTATAAATGGACGGAGAGTCAGGCGGTATAGCAGGTCGACGAGATATCCTTTCAATTATCAGTTCCTAATTTTCAAATCATGAACGTATTACAATGACAGTACACTAGTATCAATGGTATCAGTACAGTTTTAACTAGTCGGGACTCATTACAGAATTATTGCAAATACAATAAACATGTATTATAGTTGTATTACACAACCATTTCTGCCATCAATCAATTATGCTCTATTTCATTTATTCAGCAAAGTTCAACTTCAGGGCTCAGAAATTGGCTACCCTATGCTAGATGTGTGTGTTGACTCTGTGATATAGGGACAATGTAGGTCGGAGTTATAATTTTGTGGTATATGTTGTCACTTTGTGCTAGATTTCACGTTGTTGTTGGAAGATAACTATATGGTATATGTTGTCACCTTGTGCTTAAGTATACTGTGTTGTTGCCAGTTGATATCGTGGCATATGTTGTGACTTTGTACTTAGGTACATGTATATACTGTTGTTTGGAGTTAACGACGTTGTATATGTTGTCACTTTGTGTTCAGGTATACTTTGTTGTTGGGTGTTAACGACGGATTATATATTGTCACTTTGTGCTAGTGTAAAACACAATATGTAGTTGGGAAATATCGATGTGAAATATGTTGTCATTTTGTGGTGTGGTCTTTTTGTCTGTGTTCTTAGACGCTCTGCAAGGTAATTTGCCTGTTTTATTTTTGAATCATATATTCATAGAAAGATTATGTTTTACATTTTTGCAGCAATAATCCTATTTTTAGATTACGGTGTTGTATCCAGCAATATCGCTGAAGTTCATTATGGGGAAAGAAAGACTTTCTGCCAGTGTCATTGGTTTCGTGGAATCACGGTTTGGCAAGTATTTCATGGATATTTGACAAAATTTTACTAATCATAGCATCTTTTCACTCATTGCTAAAGAAACAGGAACTGACAATAACTACCTCCTAGGCACAGATGTATCGCTCATACAAATTATTTAAGACCATCCGATTACAGTATGAAACATGTCGGTTAATAATTAGTCAGAAGCTATATTATATATACCAGGACATTTTCGCCAGACAAATGTTCGTCCTTTGATGGTAAAGTCAATTTTCCATCAATATCAAATTCGTCCTTCACATTTTAATATTATTATGTTGTTTACAAAATATTCGCTGTAATGATAAATTCACCCTCATTACGGAGGGCGAAAAGGGCTAAAATACACTTCCCGGTATACGTTAATTGAATGCATCATGATATGTTATTGTGCTTTATTATTGAATGAAAGTATGTATCAGAGCCAACAAAAAGTTCAAAATACTTTTCTTACTGACATGTGTGTAATGTTTCCCTTTCACGACTATTGGAACAGGTTTTACACCAGTCTGCTGAGAAGATCACTGCGGAGGAAGGACGATTCTAAATTGGTGACCATACATAGGAATGATGTGTAAGACAGCAACATATAATACTTTGGCTACCAAGATGAAAATCTACAGTATTTCAAAACGCCAACGAGTGCATGTTTTTATCATAGTACTTGTCTGCTTTGTTTTAACGATTGTAAATGTTTTTTCTCAGGACAAGGAAACATTTGTTTCATATTCTGAATTTACTTATCCAATCGAAATGGATTCCATGGCAAATCTCAAAGATTTAAAAACACCGGGAAAAAAATCTTCTCTCAGATTTATTAATCCACACCCGTTTCAATACATTCATTTTAAAAAGAAATGCAATTTTAAGGAGAGTGGGAAAACTTCGCTTTTAATTCTAGTGAAATCTACGGTGAACAATTTTCATCTACGTGATGCTATCCGAGCTACTTGGGGGAAAGCGATATGGAAGAACGTGGAAATTGTTTATTTGCTCGCTTATCGCGCAACCCAGCAACCGGAAGTTGATAAAGAAGCGACTTTACATGGTGATATTGTACAGGAATCGTTTTTGGATAGCTACATGAACAACACTTATAAAACGATTATGGGATTTAACTGGGCTGTTCAGTTCTGTGGTCAAGCCAGCCATATTGTGTTTGTAGACGACGACCATTATCTACACATTCCTAATATATTTAACTTTATTGACACTCTGGATAAATTTAACAGTGATGACTTGATGATTGGGAATTTAATAACCAATGGCGATCCGGATAGATTAAAATCTTCAAAATGGTATGTTTCTTCAGAACAATATCCTTTTGATAAATGGCCGCCTTATTTGGCAGGGGCTGTTTACTTGGTCTCACGTGACACAGCAAATAAAATGGTGTTGGCGTTTCCGTATGTAAAATATTTAGGAATTGATGACGTGTACTTAGGAATAGTAGCTCGTAAGGTAGGTATAAGACCTGAACACGAGAATCGTTTTATTATTCCTCCTTATTTACTATACACAGATCCCTCGCAGATGGTTTATGGTGAATTCAAACGTGTAGCAGACTTCGAGTTGGTTAATCGTTTCCTTAATGATTTTTCTGAAATGAAAATGTGTGCTTTTTCGTGGAAGTGTCAGTTTGCCTTTTTGCTATGAAGAGAGTAATTTTAATTGCCTGCTTGATTGAACTGCTGGAATGAACTGTAGCGTACACATGTATCCTATAATGCATATTAATCTTTGGCAATTCGTACTATGCAATTCAATCAACAAATGCAGTGCCATCAGTATGTATTTACAATGTACGTTCAAAAATGGTACTTGGTCATCCATAGAAACGTGTTTGTCACAATTATTACAATTGTTTGTATATCGAAAATAAAAACATATTGGCGCAACAGAATTCTTCCCAAATTAAGTCACACCATGTTTTATTCAATGCTATTACTCTTTGTTTTTTTAAACAGACTGATTACCTTCATGATGAATACACATGTTGGTCGTTTGTACGCTAAGGACTGTTAAAGCTGTTTAGATTAATAGGTTCATAAAGTAGACAAACAATACAAATATTAATAGATGTACATTGTTTTAGAACCAAACTGGTTCGCAGAGGTTGATCTAAAAGAAGAGACATTCGTTAAAAATTATAAAAAGCAAAAAAAAAACCCACAAGAATGAATTAAATTCGTCGATAAACGTCAAAGAGATGTAAGTCATATATTCATTTCGAAAAAAAGTTATAATTGTTTGTCCAAAGCACTTTGTATCATATCAATACACAGATTTTATTCTGACTATAGGAATGTTTACATTTTCTCTGATGTCAGCTCTATTATATAAATAAAGGTTGGTTGATATTTTTGGTAATAACATGATTTATGATTATTTTTAAAAAAGAACCAATAGCCTCTAAGATCATCTTTACATCAACGAATCTGGGGGAAAGGCTGATAGGAGAGTCATGAGTGCCTATCTATGATGTCAAATAATAAGCAATTTAGGACTTTTTACTTGATGAATATGCTCTGATATTGACCAAAAAGAAAAAAATAATGACCGAGGAGATAGCCGAGGTCGTATGTTTTCTGTGATCAATATCAAGAGAATATTCACCAAGTAAAACGTCCATAACTGTTTTAATATATAAACATCAATGATAATCATAGCTTTCTCAATTGGAGGATGATACGTAACTCCGCCAACAGAGGTTCGTTTCAAATGTCTTATACACATATGCTATAATGATATGGGACACAGCACACATAAACATACATGTGTATGTGTGCTTTGACCAATATCATAGCATTTGTGTATGAGACATTTGTAACGAACTCCTGTGCTCCACCTAAATCATGTCGTTTCAACTTGGTCGTGATGGCTGTCATTAGGCAAGCTGTCAACGATGTCAGTATTGCTATCGATTTGTATTGTCCGGGTTGGGGAGGGTTCTCGATCAATCAGAATTTGTTTAAAATTGTTTATATAATAAAAGATTTTATTTATGGCAACTTTGTTTTTTCACATAACTGGACCATGTAACTATGCAATACGACCATGTCATGAATATGGTATAACACACGTGTAATAACACCTTTTACACATCGTCCTCACATGGTGCGCACAACTGTGCGTTTTAATAAATATTTGCCCGTTGTGCACTGTTCACCGCACAACTGTGTGATTTATTTCAAGTGGTTTATCAATATTACGGAATGAAAAAAATCCGGAAAATGAAGATGAGGTTGACACTCATTTAAGATCCTTTATGTGTGTGTGTATTTTGTACATAAACATAATATAGGTGTCATACCGTTTATCAATAAGGCTTGGTTATTATGATCAAGTCTCTAACACTAGAGGTGTTGTGGTTACGATACGTTAGCCGCAGCTCTACGCTGCACCATATCAACTGTATGTATATCACAATTTAGTATTGATCCCACTCAGAACTAGCATATTGTATTGATGGACGCATTACAGACATATGTTAAAACAGCTGTCGTATTAATAGGTTTATACAAGCTACATACAAGATTGAATTGCTATCATACAAACACTACGCAGCAATGACGGAAGTCTAAAGATAATCTACCGTTTTTTTGCGCAATCTGTTGCAAAATCACGATTCAATGAACAGAATATTTTCACATTAAGCATTTTAGTTCTGATGTCAGGAAACATGCACGGGACGATACACGATAAGATTTCAATACGTGTCTACGGCAAATTTACTTATACAAACAAAAAATAATGCATAATGTCAGCATTTTAACCAAGAAAAACTTAGTTTGCATTTCTGCACGCCTTTAAACACTTTAAGAAATGTTCTCTTGTACACATCATTATCTTACCTCAAGGCTGATACTTTGTTGCTGGAATGTATAAAGGTACGATTTTTAAGAAATAGAAGTTTAAAAAGAGATTAACTATTGTAGCCAAGAGTTGAAATTTGTAACTTTATAAAGATTTTCAAATCGGCTCCTTTTCCTTTTTCCTTTTTTCTCATAAATATTTCAGAACCCTTTAGATATGTACTTTCATTTTACCCCCATTCTGACCTTTTTTACGGAGTTATGGCCCTTTGTTGTAAAATCCTTATCCTGACAACTTCTCAGCAATTGCTTGGCCGATTTCAACGAAAGTTTACAGATTCAGATTCTTTATTACACTCTTGACACACTTGTGTGTGTAACAAGAGGTCAACAATTCAAAACAACATACATGGCAGACAGGGTAATAGAGTTACTAAGTTCATTGTAGCATATGAATAATTATAGTAAATACTCGTTAAAGTAACTCACTCAAGAATAATGATGATTAATTGCAAATTATAAGCATATAAAGGTAATAAAAAATAAATTTATGCAATTTAAGAATAAAGTGCAATTGTATATATAGAAAGTACAACAAAGAGTATAACAGTAATCAGCGTGAAATACACAGGTTTTCTACATTTTTAAGAAAGTAGCTCACTCTGGATAATAAGGGTCGATTACAAATCTCAAACCTACCTTTCATTTAAGCTAAACTTGGATTTATATAAAAGTAATGTGCGATGTATTTATGTCTATACTTAGTTATCGTAGCATTATTACATTGAAATAGATAGGGGTATTCATCCCCAATACCATTATTACATATCAAACAAGTACGATTATTACTTGGTATACCAACCCATCTACCAGTTTCAAAGAGTAATTTAAGTTCGACATTCTAAATTTGCTGATACTTATACGTTCGCTGGGATTAAACTTAACTAAATATGATTCAAAATTAAACTGGTTTTTAAAGATAGAGTAGAACTGTCCACGAGATGAAGAATCAATAGTAGAGAAACAATTTTGAATAAACGTTTTTTAAGCAAATTTTTGAAGAGTGATCTATTCATTGTACATGTGTTTTGGTATATCCAGTAAAACCTGTGTTATTAAGTAATGATTTTATATATCCAAGCCATTTATATTCTGCAGTATTATCTTCTTGCTATTTTAGTATTAGGCGATAGAATACACTAGTCCTCCTTTTATTAATGTATGCCAAAACATTAGCATTCTAACTCATTTCTATTTCTAATGGAAATTTGCCCAGTTCGCCGTACACCATACAATTATACATATTTGTTTAGGTTAGTGGTTTAGGAGTTGTAAAGTTGGAACAACGATGAAAAGGCATACACTTTCAGATAGTGAAGATTTGAATTATAAAGGACATGTATCTTCAGGAAAATTAACACATTATACATAATTAATTTCATACATTGAACATTTCATGTCATGGGCACTGCAACTAACATGATAATGAATATTATTTTACAACAATAACAAATTTGTCAGACTCAATAATAGATAGATTTCTTTATTTTTCTCTCGGTAAAGAGATACAAATATTCCATAACTTAACACACAATATTAGAACATATGTACATGTTAATAATTAAAGAGAAAACAGTACAGTTCTTTTGTTTCTTAATTCACCTCTTGGTTGAACGCATATTCACGAACCAGTGTTGACATCAATGTTGTAAGGTAAACACGAAGCTTGCACGTATTACATTTATTCACCTATATACAATATAGTACAGAGGGAAATATTGAAACAGAAATTGGCATTTAGCGACAGCCCGAAAAAAACTCTGGATCCGCAGGTGTGAAAATATTCGTCACTTTTTCTGTTCCGTTTTGAATTGCCACCAAGTAAGCATGAGTACTTGATCTTTATCATTGCCTTTTTTGTAGGGGAACACGATTTTTTATTTCCCTACCACAAGGGCTGTAAATGTTGTATTATGCCGAAATAAAACAATACTATAAAACTCAAAGAAGTTCAGGTTAACGAACCATTGTTGTCAAATGCATCAGTCAATCGAAACTCAAGTGTGTCGACTCTCTGCCATTTTAGAGAGGCTTCGAATAAGGACAATTTTACCGGGAAACTCGAGCGCGTGGGGCGGACTCAATGTTTTATTTCCTTGCCATGTAATTCATACAATCCAATCAGACACACTGTTACAATATAAGTGAGGCATTATAGTATTATTTTTACCAAGAAGCAGGGTAAGTTAGGGGAATTATTCTATCGGTCTATTAGCAGTTGAAATGAGGGCATATTTTGGGGCTACCTCCAGCCCATGTTACTTAAGGAGCCGATACTGTTTTAAAACCTGGCCATGTTTCCCGCGCACATACCATACACTGAATGATCAACACTTTCGTGCCCAATACCACATCCGTACGATATTCACATCAACATTTGACGTAACGACCAAAATGTTGTCAGCACGACGCCAGATGATCGGTTTTTTTCGTAACTGGTAAGATTCAAAACTAAGAGTCTGTTGCTATGTAACACAACGCATGTAACGCTGTATATGTCACATGTGTTTTAGCGTTATTTCGTGAGGAGAATGTTTCCATACAAAATGAAATAAACGTTCAGATGCTGTTGGAATAATTATCACGGAAGATATACTTTACATTATTTCAATATTTGCATTCGTGCTTCACACTTAACAAATATTGGTTCTCGACAGTATGCCTGAAACATGCGTGATCTTCAACAAATACATGGTATATTACACAAATATATGCGATATTCTACGGAAAACCATTTAATATCCTCCACGTGGTAGCAACGAATTGTTTACTATCAAGACAGACAGTGACAAGGACATCTAGCCAGAAAATAGTGATACGACAGGGCCTGGAGAGGCAAATTAATCATGATATGATGGTATATAGTGCTCGTTTTGTATCGTCAAGACAGTAACGGAACGGGGTATGTTAACGCGAGAAAAATTAATGTGCGTGTATGTCCTAGATTTTGCTTGAGGCAACATTATTTCTGTATTATGGGTAAATACAAAGATCTGACGATACATTGAACAATTCCATTACGCAGTAAGAACGTACCATGTACCTATGTATACAAGTTACTAGAACAGATATGTTGTACAGGAACTCGTCACCCTGTATCAGTCGTCATGATCTCCGCGATCGCGTTTGGTTTGTTTTGGAAAAGTAGCTGTCAACTCTGTGGAATAGCTTACCATTCGCTAACGGAAACTCGAAAACTTTTACCATGATGGTATACTCGCCCAATTACGTCTGCATTTCAGTATATTTAGCACAGGCCACCCTGTGTATGTATGTAGATAAAACTACGTGCATGCCAATAGTATATCGGATTTCTTGTCTTTTACATGCGCTGTTACACTAGAACGATCGTTATTATTTATATATTATGAAGCGTCTTAGACTGATATCATAAATTAACAAGGGTGCAATATAAATGTTGTATATTATTCCTTTGAATTGTTAAATATATACTTTGCATTTTGACTAATACCATTCCTGCGCGAAAAACCAGCAGCGTCATATAGTTAATAACTACGAAAAAATATGTTGAATAAGATTTCTGTTCAAAAGACAACACCAACAAATTCGATAATGAGAGTGGATCATTTATTAAAAAAAAAAAATTGTCATGCAATACATCCCCAGGTATGGCAACTGGAGGTAATTGCATAGTTGATGAGTTGAAATTACTGTCAGACTGTTATTTAAGTATACATGTGCATCAGTAAAACCTTGATAAAATTCCACTCGTTCCAATGCCCCCCTTTCCTATATCTCAATTCCCCCTTTTCTTATTATTTCATTTACATGTCCTCCTAATTTATCACTAAACCCCTATATAACGCCACACGTATGTCAACTAAAAGCGACAGTATAACGACATTTTACTGAATACATAATCAACCTTAATCTAAAGTATATACACATATGTGACACATATAGCACGCTGTTTCTTTAACAATTTGTAGAAAAATATGTAAACATAATATATCTTTGGCATTGGAACGCCATAGACAAATTGTTCCCACAACCGGACATCAGTCTATGTAATAAACAAAGTAATATACATAAAAAGAAATGCTATATATCCGACATATCATATCATTAAAATATATATATGATGAATAGGAAATGGGGGTTCTTCATACATCCGTCCCTCCCTCTATATTTATAGTAAATCCCTCCCTGACGGGATGGATCAGTGAGGGACCAGTGAGAGATGAGGGACTGACCCCATGACCTTGTGAGGGACTGACCCCATGACCTTTCATAGGAATTCCCTCTCAAAATAGACTAAATAGTGACAATTTCGTCTTTGAGTAGGATCCCTATAATAATAATAAAGATTTTGATTAAGGGCGATGACGGATAGGTTTCTGTGGTGGGTTCCCTCCGTAAACAACTCGTTGACCCGTGGATCCTTAGATGCTATGGACATTAGGTCGTCCAGTATGACAAGGTTTCTAACACTCGGATTAATGAAAGAATCTTGATCTAGGTCGAGGGGTATCCCCTGTATAAATTCAACTGATGGGTATACAGATGCTTTGATGATGTCATATAGATGTTGCCATCGTTTGTAGAGCCATATGATTCTTTGAGGAGCTGGTGTTATTTTTGTCAAACAATTTTGAAGCATAGTTTTGACAAAGTACGTTTTCCCACAGGATGTAGGACCAGACACGTTAGCTGTGAAGGGATGTTTAAAAGCAAAGTCCCGATGCTGCTGCTGCGGCGGCGGTGGCGGCGGTGGCGGCGGCGGCGGTGACTGTAATCCATGCGATGGAGGCAACAACTGTACCTCCTGCAGCGGCGGCGGCGGCGG